CTGACCAGCGGCTGACTACAGGAAGTCCGAGGCAGAGTTGCTCTGCCCCGGGCTTCCTGGAATCAGCTGCTGATCAGTTTCAGCAGCAGCTGACTTGGGGACGCCTGGGGTTCTTAAGTTGAATCTGTATGTAAGTCAGAACTGGTGTCCAGATTCAGCCACTGTTGAAACTGATCAGTTTCAGCAGTGGCTGACTCTGGATGCCAGTTCCGACTTACATACAGATTCAACTTAAGAACAAACCTACAGTCCCTATCTTGTACGTAACCCGGGGACTGCCTGTATAATAGGCTTAAGCCAAACAATAACATCTCAAGAAAGGGCCAAAATCAAGCAAGACTTAAGAGTCATTGGAAAATTTGATTTTGTTTAAAAATCATTATCTATATCAGGGGTGAAGAACCTCATGCCCAGGGTCCAGATGCAGCCCCCGGCTTGCTTAAATCCAGCCCTGGAGGCTCAGGACCACCCCCTCCACTCCGCCCAGTACTGGCACTCCAAACACCATCCTCCCCCTCACCGTGAGGCTGAGGCACACAAAATCTACTAGGCTGGGCCCCCCTAAGCTCTGGTGTGTGAGGAGAATGTGTGGAGTGTCCTTCTCCTTCTCAGTCAGCGGCCATGTTAGCGAAGATTTGTTTGTGTTTTTGCTTCTCAGTTGTGTGTGGCCCTCAACTGATGTTTCTGTAGGTCAGTGGCCCCTGACCCAAAAAAGGTTCCTCGTCCCTGCTCTATACATTCAGTTGTCCAATTAAGTCACTTACTTATATAAGACTAGTTTTGCTTTAAATTAATAGCTGTCAAAAGAGGCTATTCTGTTGTCTGGTCGCCCAGGATCTATGAACCTGCAGCTTACCAAAGAGAGACTGCCTTCAGCTAGCAGGAATAAAAGGTTCATGTGTGCTTCATTAACATAGCTTTCTCTTTGGGCTCATCTATAGTTGTGACTTCTGTCTGACATGAGAACAACATGAATGCCTGCTAGTTTAAAAAATGCATGAAGAAGCCTTTTGAAGACTTCATGGTAAGCTCAGAAGCTGGAATCAACAATGAATGCAGAGGAACCCTGCCACTGGACTCCTCTTGTTGAGCCTGCCCCTGTTAAGAAGCACTTTGTTCACATCTGGACATCCCCTGCCAGAAAATGTTAATGTGGAAGCTCAAGTACACAAGATGTATCCCACAGAAGTTTGAATTGTTCTTGTAAGTCCCTTTTAATGAATAAAGCATTTTTTCCCTAGCGGTATCAACTTTCAGTAGACTACGCAATTAACCAATAAGCCTGAGTTTATCGGTTAATCCTATTGACTACACACATCTCCCCCTCCCCCCACTTCTGACTCAAAGGCAGCAAGCTAGGGGGAGGGTGGCGGGAGACAGTGTCCACTGGGAGCTGGATTTTTTTAGCCCACAAGCTCCAGATCCCCATGAGCACCGGATCCCGCAAAGCTCCCCCCCGCCCCAACCCCTATGCTGCTGCCTCTGATAGCACAGAAGGTGAGGGGGGCAGGCAGGAGACGGTACACATGGAGAGCCATCTTAAAAGCTGGCTCCTCCCAACAGTGGCTCTGCGGAGCTGCCTACCCACCCCACCCCATCCCACCCCTGCACTGCTGCTTCTATCAGAGGCAGCAGTGTGTGTGTGTGTGGGGAGGGAGTAGAGGGCTCCCTGGAGTTGAGGCAGGAACACAATGGCTGCTGGCCCCATCCCCAAGGACTATCAAATAATCGTATAACTGCTAATATTTTATGCAGTTACACTATTATTCAAATTAATTGATAGCTAACGTCCCTACTTCATTCATTACAGCTTTTTAAAAATGTATAAAGCACAGAAATGCAAGATCTAAAGCAGTAACTGTTTCCAATATAACAACATTTTATATAACATTTTCCCACACTCAGCCAGTCTCCAGGATTTAATCTGATCTGCCAAATGCAGAGTAAAAAGGAAGAAACACTTTTGGTCACCCTTTTCTAGCTGAGAGTCTGTGAATACCTGCAACAAAAGTGTTTCAGATGGCAGGGGAAGGCAGTAAGAGTTGAGGCGGCTGAGGTGAAAGGGAGCATACAATACATGTGCCAGAGCCAGGTACCACACTAGCAGGAAAAAGCCATTTAAGAGAGATGAATTTCCACTGAGAATAAATAAGCAATCAGCTTATGCATGGCCTAAACAAACTGTGGGTGAAACCCTCATGGCATTCTGACTGTAGATGACTCCTGTTGACTATTTTAGTGATGTCCAAATGCTTCAAACTGTAGCAGTCAGAAAACAAAAGCCACAAAAGCTTTAAATTAAGAGTAAAAAATGCAGTTAGTACATTTCATTTTTAGATACAACTGTAGAGGAAACCACTATCAGCCGCTGAAGCTGTAATCCTGAATAGAAACACAACACACAGGAAGGGTCAGTACCAGAAGCCACAAAGTGTCCCCTGTAACACTATAAATATATGATTGGAATGTTCCAGTCTTCAAGATCTTGTTTGCGTGGGAGTCTCTACATTTTAAGTTTCAGTGTCATAAAGCAAACTATTTGATCTACACCTGTGCATGAGGTGACAGAAAACAATCTTGCACCCTTCGAATACGTAGCAACTGACAGCTGAGCAGCAGCATACTGAAATGCACTCAGTGGCACACATTACTAGGGATAGTAATTACATCAGACAACAGGGGACTTGCTATTGACAACTGGGTTGTTCCAGTGTAGAAGAACTGCATGTTTCCTCGAATACATTAGAGCAGGAAAGTGGTGAGAGAAAAATTACAGCTACAATGATGGTAAATTCTATTGACAGTTTTCTGGAAAGCAAAAAAGGCCTCACTACTGTGCCTTGAGCAAGCACAGATGTTTCAGTGACATGAGCCCTCGTGAAGACTGCTGAACAAGAGTGTTGTTTAGCTTATGCCGCTTGCTGATTTGTTGCGCATCATTTTTACATACTCAATTGTGCCTCAGATTTGATTTCCCTCTTTTTTCCTTGTCCCAATCAAGGAAAGAGAAAGACACACACACAGAGAGAGTCTTTTTACAATAGCATCCCGTGTGAGGTTATTTTAAGTACCAGTGTAGAGATTCCTATTCATGGACCGAAAGTAACAACTGTGCAATAAAAATCACTGGAACTCTAAATTTAGCACAGGACTATCCCAATCATATATTTTTATGGTAAGTATGAAAAAATGAAAACCAAAAAAGGTAGGAGAAATGACTGCACATCGTCATGTTTTTTGTTGACATGCAAAAGCGTACAGTATTTTAAAATAAAGTCTTCATGCAACAACATGCAAAAAAAAAATTCAGCAGCAGAGGAGGAAGAAAAAGAGTTCAGCAAAGAACGCAGAAGGTCCAGGCAAATGCAAATGAAACAAGCGTCAAGTTCATACAAACCTCCAACATTAAATTGCTATGCCTGATATAAATGTTTTCACCATCTAGTTTCTTTGATCTTTTCTGTGAAAATGAAAGAAAGGGGAAAACAAAGAAGCACAAAAAATTAAAATGCTGTTCTTGCGGGAATCGCAAATTGGCAAATAAAAAAAGTTAAATAAATGTTTGGAGTGGAGTATTGTGCCAATATGAGATAGGCTATAGAACCACAAGAACATGTGTAGAAACCTTCACTGCCAAGAAATGGAGGACCTTGCTCATAGACAGTGGAAGAATGCAATGAGTCATTTAAAGAGACAGTTCCCAGAGTTTCATCGGCTTATTTGCATTGCTGCAACAAAGGCAATCTTGCTCTCAGCAAATAAGTGTTTAACATTTGCTATGGAAGATTTGCAAAGACTAGGACACTTTCAACTTCCTGATCACAAAGTGAATACAGTGCTGCATTACCTGGTGTTATATGTAGTTTTTCCAATGCTTCCGAGCCTTTAAAAATCATTTTATTAAAACATATACTATAGTTAATGTACTTAATCATTTATAGTTTCATGGGATTCTTGACAGGAAAGATATGTAAAACACTGAAATTTCTGTATTTCCTGGAATACTGAAATGTACAGTTTCCTCTGGATTGTAATTAGCTTCATTTCTGTACAGAACTGTAAAATACAATTCATATTCCCGAGTCTGTATCTTATTGAAAAGTTCGTTAACAGAAATGTATTTAACAATCTCAGATTGCCATTGGGCTGAAAAGCTGAATTGTTTTGAAAGCCAGCAACAGATACTTGCAAATTAAAACTCAAAGCACATGAAGAAATTGGAGTACTGTCTTTTTAAATATATTGAGTATGCATGAGTGATATATGGCTGTTTCGGTCGGTGAAAGTGTAAAATGGCTAACCTTCCTCATTCTTATCGGCTCTTCCTCTTTTTCTGCAGGCTGCTGTTTTGTAGTGATAAAAAACAAAAAAAAATGGTTCATTTAGTTATGTCGAATCTATACAACCTTTTTTAAAAAAAATAAAATAAAAAAAAGAATGAGAACAACCTAACTGATAATAATCAGCACAAACCTGGGGCTGGTCACCATTTGTGGTAGGCAATGTGACCTCGATGTGAGTTTTCCCCACCTACATTTAAGAAATAAAGTGGTAAAAACATTTCTTGTTAGTAAATTTTTGGAAACCACTTAGTTTCAAAACACAGCTGAAATATTAAGTTGGTTTTGAAATGATGTGTCAGCATGCAGGAATCAACATGCAGTCTTTTGAAGAGAGTTAACAAGGGTTTACATAACTAACAGTGACAATTTGTTAGTTCAACATCAGGTTTCTGAAACTGAAAGTACAACTTTGACACCCATGTTTTAAAAGACCCCAAAAGGACATTTATTTAATATCTCCAACAAAGATAAGCTTTTTGTTTTAAGGCTATTTGTAAGTCAATGTTTCCAAAAGTTATCTATAATTCGATACTCCAACGATATATCACTGTCAAAAAAGGGAACAAATTCAAATTAATAGATATACAACTGTTCAAAGACAAAAAATAAATATGCTCTTTCCCAGTGATCATCTAGTCTGACCTGCCAAGCCATATACCTGTCTGTATGCATGTATTTACATTTGTCAGCTAACTGACTCACCAGCAGCACTGGATCTAGTCTTTCATTTGCCATAACTGTAGAGCTAAGAACCAATATTTTCAATTTTTTTTTTAAGTTAAATGGAATTGGGCTTCCAATTCACCCTAGCAGTCTAGGCTTGTAACAGAGCATGGCATGCCTACATTTGATGGACAAGAGTAAACACCAGAATCACTGAAATACACCTGCAGCTCCTGCCAGCCTATCATGGATGTAACTTCGGAATGGTTACCTTGATGGTCCTGTTCAAATAGGAATACCACCACCACTATAATCCAAGAAGAATATTGAAATGGGATAAAGTAGAAGTTGAACTTCTCTAGTCCAGCACCCTTGGGATCTGACTGATACCAAACCAGAGAATTTGCTGAACCATGGGAAGTCAATATTGTTTAGCAGCTTTACCAACATTTCCAATGCTTACTGGGTTCTTAGAAGACATTTTGGGGTAAAATAACAGCACAGAACACTGACAGCCATGACTGGTGGCTATAAACAAACTTTTTGGGACCATAGGAATGTTGGCCATACCCATGGTAAGTGGACATCAGGCTAACTCAAATCATGCTGAACCACAGATGTTGTTGGATCAGAACCTGTACAAATGCAGGAAACATCACAAAGTCTGGCTTCGACAAGGCAAAATAGTTATTTTATTTTTTTAAATTTTTATATTATATAAAGAAACAGGTTATTTACTCAAGACTAGATTAAATTATGGAGCACTTTAGCAGCTTCTAGAGTCTAAAAGGATTTTACAAGAATTCTTTCTACACTAAGTACTGAAGTAAATCTAATACTGTAACTACCTGAAAATAAAACAGACATCATACTCTCTCACAGAGAGAAAGCTGCTGCTTGCCATTTCAGCCAGACTGACCATTCTCTCAATGACCTTAAAACATGCATATTGCTTCAGAGAGATTTTAACTCCAGACTTCAAAGAGAAGCTTCAGAATTGTCATTCATGCTTAAATTTGACACTTTATGTATGGGTCTCAACAAAGATGCTAATTATCTCACCCATTACAAAGATAGCTTCCCCAATTATCACCCCTAATGTCATTACCTCACAGACACTAATCTTCCCCCCTCACCTCCTCTCTGTTCTAAAATTTGATTTGTCAATTTTATATGTGTTCACTTTTTTTGATTGTATCACTTTGGTATATATGGTCATGCCAATTTTCTTCCACAAATTGATCTGAGGAAGTGGGTCTGGCCCACGAAAGCTCATCACCTAATAAACCATCTTGTTAGTCTTTAAAGTGCTACATAGTTCTGTCTTTTGTTTTACCTGAAAATCTGTCTGATAAATGAGGGCCTGGGTGAATGGAAGCAGAATTATTTTAAATTTAACCACTGTGTGGCATTCAACTGTTTTATGTTTCAATTATCTGCAAGACTCCATTAGTCTTCAGAACTCATTCTGAGTGACTCGGTGCTCCTAACCTATGCCTTTGTAACTAAAAGCAGCTCAGAGCTCTTAGCTATTTTGCAATGATGTACACTCATTGACAATTTTAAACAGTGGTGTCATCAAATCAAGTGTAGCATCAAAAGTTGTATTTACTTAATCACAAAGAGAGGGTACTGATGACTAACTGATTTGTTCACCTCTTGCGTGTGTGTTTACATATGTAGCTATATGGAAAGTTGTCTATGCAAGGAAGAGAGGCACTTGAATATCAAGAGGTAATACAGTTAGTAAGTCAAAGAGGCTACAAAGTGGAATGAAAATATAACACTACGTTAAGCAATTATGGCTTTGGAAGGGCCGAATTTGCCAGCTTTAAGTGGGTACAACTTCATTAGATTGAGATGGACCAGATGTAACCACATCCAAATTTGGCCCTATGTTTCCAGATTGTCACCAGTTTTCTTCAAACAGGAATTCTTATTAACCCTACTGATATTCCTTGAAGACAGAAAATAAAGATTTTTTAATTTTTTGAAAGGTTGGTGAGGATATTGTGCTGTCTCCTCTCTTGTTCCTCAAGTGCCTATGTCATACACATAGATCTTCCTTGGAATATGACTACATCTATCATGTGAGACTTGCCCTCTATCTATAATACAGTAAGAGTACGAGTCCCAACAAAAAATAGGGGAAATAGAATGTACAATATTCAGTGCCAAAAAGCAATCTCAATCTACCCTTTCTGCCTCTAGATTTTCCACTATTTATATCCTCACTCAAAAGAAAATTATAAAATATTAGTCTTGAAACAAGATGAAAATCCTTTCATATATTATTCTGCCATTTATAAATTTTACACAGAACATTCACCGAAGAACCATATATTTGCACTTTTCAATTTAAGTAGTTCCCCTTAATATTAAATCTAACACAGTCTAAACCATGTTTGAATATTCATACATCAACATTTTAGTCTAGCTGGCAGCCTGTCAGAAGTCCATTAACAGCTTTCCAGAGAAAATGAATCAATTAAAACACTTTATACTATAGATGCTGTAAGGTCTAGATCCACTTCTTCTCTCACATTAATGGAATTGCCCCTGATTTACACAAACTAAAAAGCATTACTGGTTAACAAGGGCAAATGTAGCTGTACATGTGGTTAATTCTCAATGGAATTAACATACTGCTTTAAGGTGATCAACAGGAAATGGCGTCTTTAGGACTATTCCAGGGACAAAAAAAACATACTGCCATCGGTACAGTTAAGACATGAAAATTATAACATGTTGTAATGGACAGGAGGAGTGCTGAACATCACCCGGTGACTAAGGGGTTAAACTTAGGTAGCTAGCAAAGGTGTTGGCCAGGAGAACCAATAAAGGATTGAAATGTGAATTGGGTATAGATTCCCTGCCTTTCTTTGTGTGGGAGAGATAAACCAGGAGTTGAGAAACACAGAATGATTTAAATCTAGGCAGGACTACTATGTCTCCAAGGAATTTGGGGCATGGGAGTGGACTGAACAAAGAGAAAACTAGAAGTAAATCTAGTCGTGTTCATGGTAATTTTTCTTTATTTTGTGGTTTACATTGAACTGCTTTTTGTGAATCTATGCCTCCCCTCCCCATTTACTACTTCACATTGTGCCCAGAAACTTTTCTCTGTGTTTTAATTTGTTTTCATAGACTCAGACTCCAAGGTCAGAAGGGACCATTATGATCATCTAGTCTGACCCCCTGCACAGTGCAGGCCACAAAATCTCGCCCACCCCTCCTAGAATAATCCTCTCACCTATATCTCAGATATTGAAGCCTTCAAATACTTTGAAGACCCCAAGATGCAGAGCTCCTCTAGCTGTGATCTGTACCCCATGCTACAGAGGAAGGCGAAAAACCTCCAGGGCCTCTGCCAATCTACCCTGGAGGAAAATTCCTTCCCGACCCCAAATATGGCAATCAGCTAAACCCTGAGCATGTGGGCAAGACTCATCAGCCAGACACCCAGAAAGTTCTCTATAGTAACTCCTATCATCCCTCCATTGGCCTATTTCCCACTGATAATGAATGGTCAATTAGATACCAAGATCCTGTTATCTCATCAAACCATCCCCTTCATAAACCCATCTAGTTTAATCTTGAAACCAGATAGATCTTTTGCCCCCACTACTTCCCTTGGAAGGCCATTCCAGAACTTCACTCCTCTAATGGTTAGAAACCTTCGTCTAATCTCAAGTCTAAACTTCCTACTAGCCAGCTTATATCCATTTGTTCTTGTGTCCACATTGGTATTAAACTTAAATAATTCCTCTCCCTCCCTGGTATTTATCCCTCTAATATATTTAAAAAGTGCAATCATGTCCCCCCCTCAGCCTTCTTTTGGTTAAAGTAAACAAGCCAAGCTCCTTGAGTCTCTTTTCATAAGACAGGTTTTCCATTCCTCGGATCATCCTAGTGGCTCTTCTTTGTACCTGTTCCAGTTTGAATTCATCCTTCTTAAACATGGGAGACCAGAACTGCACACAGTATTCCAAATGGGGTCTCACCAATGCCTTGTATAATGGCACTAACACCTCCTTATCCCTACTGGAAATACCTCACCTAATACATCCCAAGATTGTATTAGCCTTTTTCACGGCCATGTCACAATGGCGGCTCCTAGTCATTCTATAATCAACCAGGACTCCGAGGTCCTTCTCCTCCTCCGTTACTTCCAACTGATGTGTCCCCAGCTTATAACTAAAATGCTTGTTATTAATCCCTAAATGCATAACCTTACACTTCTCACTATTAAATTTCATCCTATTGCTATCACTCCAATTTACAAGATCATCCAGATCTTCCTGTATGATATCCCGATCCTTTTCTGAATTGGCAATAGCTCCCAACTTTGTGTCATCTGCAGATTTTATTAGGACACTTCCACTTTTGGTGCCAAGATCAGCAATAAAAAGATTAAATAAAATTGGCCCCAAAACTGATCCCTGAGGAACTCTGCTACTAACCTTCCTCCAACCTGACAGTTCCCCTTCCAGTATGACCCGCTGTAGTCTCCCCTTTAACCAGTTGCTTATCCACCTCTCAACTTTCATATTAATCCCTATCTTTTCCAATTTAACCAATAATTCCCCATGTGGTACTGTATTAAATGCCTTACTAAAGTCGAGGTAGATTAGATCCACTGCATTTCCTTTATCTAAAAAATCTGTTACTTTCTCAAAAAAGGAGATCAGGTTGGTTTGGCATGATCTACCTTTTGTAAAACCATGTTGTAATTTGTCCCAATTGCCATTAGCCTCAATGTCTCTAACTACTTTCTCTTTCAAAATTTTTTCCAGGATCTTACATACTACAGATGTCAAACTAACAGGCCTATAGTTACCCGGGTCGCTTTTTTCCCTTTCTTAAAAATCGGAACTATATTAGCAATTCTCCAGTCAAATGGTACAAACCCTGAGTTTAGAGATTTATTAAAAATGTTTTCCTTAGTTGCTCTGTAACATCTAGCAACCAAGTATGCTTTATCACATTTATCTTTTATTTTGTAATAAAGATCACCTTTTTAAAGGTGATGATTGATGATGATTTGATTCTTGTGTCCTGGAAGGTCTGTCTGCCTCTGTGCAGGTGCATGCCTCTGACTGAGGAGTCAGCTACCAGAGACTGCAGCTTGTTTTTCTTTTTTCAAACTCTTTTCGGGCAAAAGAGCTTGGGTTACCCCTGAGAGTGGGTTCAAGTGTTCACCCCTGGTTTTAGGGGTTAAAAAAAAATCAATTGATGGTGGCAGCTTGTTTGTTTGTTTCTCAGAGGCAGGGAATCTGTGACTCTGGAAAGTTTGGTAACCAGCGCCTGTAGAGGCAAAAGTTCCTTTGTTTTTTTGAGCTCTTTGTGGGCCCCTATCTTCTGCACTCAGGGTGCCCGAGTGGGGAACAGCCCTGACACATGTACTGTAGCATTTTTGTTGTGTCTTGAAGTTCAGGAAAGGTATTTTCCTGGAATCACAGCCAATTAGCTGGAGGATATCCTATTCCCAGTCCACTGACTACACAGGAATGAGAAACTTCTGGTCTAATGAAATATCACCATTTGCGGCCATTTTAGAGCTAGCATCTACTATATATTTTGAATAGTTTGTGGATTTGTTTTTGCAAAATGAAGTCATACTTCATGATTACCTATGGATACCAAATTTTGCATAAACAATCCTACCACTTAAACTAGCTGAATACGCTACTTTTTACACCGGAATATTCTGGGCGAAAGGTTTAAATAATTATTTTTGGTTTCATCAGAAAAAAAAGTCATGACTTTTAAGATTACAGCTCATAAAAAATATATGTTAACAAAATTAAAATTGAGTCGCCTATTCAAATGTCATTTTAGTGCAAAGAAAATTTTTTACTGTTAAATCAACGCCAGTTAATTTTCTTCACTAATTAATAGTTTCTGATTCAAATTTACTATGTATGGTAATTATTCAATAAAATGGAATTTGAATTCCTACAAAATTTAAAACTGTTCTTTTACTTCCTTTTTGAAAATACATTAATAAAAAGTTATATTATATATATTTCATTTCTTGAACTTGCCTATAAGTGTAACTTACGCAAAATGACTTTACCTGGTCAACAACAGGCCTCACCTGCTAGTTCTACATAAAACAAAAATCACTTACAGGCCTCACAAAACATTGTATGGTAATTTTCTGGGGCTAGTGTACCTTGGCTACTTCAGGTGGCTCCATCTTGACCAACTCATATGGCATTTCTTCACGCTTTCCTTCAGTATCCAATGCCTCCTTCTCCACTTTAGAGACTACTACTATTTCCTTGGTATCAGATGAAGCTGGTGGGGTAGGTTCAGCAACATGTCTCTGAGCAATGGCGGGTGCAGAAGTTGGCCGTGGGCTTCGGTCAGGTGTAATCACCGCTACTGCTGAACAGAGAAAAAGAGTCAAGGCAAGGTTCAAAATGCATAATGTTTCTAGCTGCCCTAGGACAATCCTCCCATATTAGAGCACTGTATTAAAAAAAGAAGTAAAGCAGTTGTGCATTTAGTACAGAAAAGCTGAGGTTATTTTCCTTATAGTTTTAATAATAGGTCTTGTACAGAAAGTAAAAAAAGCAAGCTTGCACTCTGCAAAGAAGCCACACCAGAAATGCCAATTTATTTGTGACACTGCGCAAGGAGTTTCTGGGTCTTTCAAATGCCACTGGTGTAAGTTCATCACTATGGGTGTGTCTAGACTACATGCCTCCTTCGACGGAGGCATGTAGATTAGCCAGATCGGGAG